AAAGGTGGGCAGAGAGGGATGGGAGAGAGGGTGGGGGGGAAGGTGAGGAGGAATGGGGGAGTGGATGTGGAGAGAGGAGTGGTAGAGGGGGAGGGGAAGTAGGGGAGGGGGGGATGATGGAGGGAAGATAGAAAGTTGGAGGGTGGTGGAAGAAAGAGGTGTATGGAGAGTGGAAGAGGTATATTGGGTTTCTATTTTCTGGGGCATTGTTGACAAGAGGAACTGATGCAATTATTGTTTAATGCTGTATGGTGTTGGTTATGCACAGTGTACATGTGAGTGTATGAAAATGAAAATCAAAATAAAAAACATTATTTCAAAAAGAAAAAAAAGAGTCCTTTAGTCTGGCAAGATTCCTGTTTATGGGCAAGCAGCAATAAAGAAACTCATTTGAGACAATCACCACCTCATTTTTGGTTCCTTGAGCTTGACCAACACTATGAGTTTTAGTTTTACCTTAGACACAGGCAAGCTGGGTGATCTTTGGACAGTCATTCTCTTTCAGCCTTAGGAAGAAGGAATGTGTCCCGGCAGTCACCAGGAGTCAAAATTGATTTGAAGGCACACATTCCTTTTTTTTAAAAAGAATCTATTTTAATTATAACATGATCTCAAATGAAATATTAGAAACAAAATATTAAAATTATATATGAGTTAATGGCTGGAATGTTTCTGTGGAATATTGTGCACAATAACATCAGGAAAATATACCTGATGTTTTACAATATTTGAGAGGGGAAACACCAGATAAGCTTAAAGCATAAAGAGCATAGTTTAAGCTAATAGTTGCCAATATTTTATTTTTGTTTGAGTTTAAGTGTAATTTTCTGGGGGAAGACGCTAGACAACTTTAATATGTCACATTCAATAAAATTTCGTTCTCATGAGGCTACAAAACTACTTAAGATAATACCAGTTGCTTACTCAAATATGGCTCATGGAAATATTTTGTTTTTCCAAATGACCTAACAGTCAGGTAAAATTCTCCTTGGTGCCTCTTTTCTTTCACAGTCTTGCAGTTCGAAATTTTCAAATTGCTGTCATCAGGAACATGGAGCCAATTTGAGCTGCTAATATTTCCTAGCTAGCCTGGCTAGTACTAAGACTTCTGGGAATTAATGTCCATTTGTTTGGAAGGCATATAAGTACTGAATAAGTCACAAGTGAGCCAAATGTTACATTAGAAAGATCAATCACTTAGGGATTTTAAGATATCATGTATTTCAGTGGTGGGATTCAATTTTTTTTACTACCGGTTCTGTGGGCGTGGCTTGGTGGGTGTGGCGTGGCTTGGTGGGCGTGGCAGGGGAAGGTTACTGCAAAATCTCCATTTCCTCCCGATCACCTGAGACTCGGGAGGCAGAGAATAGATAGGGGTGGGGCCAGTCAGAGGTGGTATTTTTTTCCAATATATTTTTATTATTTTTACAATTAAAACAATGCGGTACCACGAAATCGAAGTGACCATACATTCACATTATATACAGCTAGTCTCAACCATTGACAATTAGCCTACTTAATACATTATCAATCCTTCTGTCCAATCACAATATATACAGTTTGTTCCAGTCTTGTTACCTTGTCTTATACCAGTCATAAAATCTGTTCCAGACTTCAAAATATTCTGATTCTCCTTTATTTTTAAGTTCAAGAGTGAGCCTATCTGCTTCCGCACAGGCCAACACTTTTCTGATTATATCTAACTCTGATGGTGTATTTTCTTTTTTCCAATATTGTGCATAAGCTATGCGCGCCGCAGTTAGTACATGTATAATTAGATAAAGTGTATCTTTCTTAAACCCCTCTGGTATTATACCTAGGAAAAAAATTTCCAGTTTAAACAAGATTTGGTGTCCCACCATTTGTTCCAACCATGATTGAATCACTTTCCAATAATTTTTTGCCTCATTGCACGTCCAGCCCATATGATAAAAAGTGCCTAGTGTTTTTTTACACTTCCAACAATTTGGGGCCAGATTTTTAAACATTTTGGAGAGCCGCTATCAGTTCCCCAGAACTGGTCAGAACCTGCTGAATACCACCTCTGATGTAAGAGGGGCTTTATATTATACCTGTTTACTCTCAACATTTAGCATGGGATCAATACATAAAGCAATTAGTTACACAAACCTCCCAGATCCTAGCCTTTACTTATTTACTATGATATCAAGGTCAGCTGCAGTTATTAGGTATTCTAGCATTCCAGTTTAAAGGGCGTGAGTTGCATATGTTTGTTTGTTTTTAAGTTGCATGTTGCATCTGAAATGGTTGACAAGTATTCTTTGTCATATGCATTGGGTATTTAAAAATCTACAATTCTCCTTTTTTTGTTCTCTTTTTTTTGTGGGGGGTTGATGTATTTCACAGGTTGGAGGAGACAAAGTATAAATGGCGAGCTTATGTTTTCCAATAACTACTAATTCCTGTTTCTTGTTGTGATATTTATGGTGGCATGGAAAGTCTTTTGGAATAAAAATGCAGTTCAGGTATAACCAAAATCCTCAGGACAGAATTGAAGTTAAGAAGAAAAGAAGGAGGCTAAAAGATACAACTGGAGCCTCCTTCCCTGGCCATGAGGGTCCCAATCAAATAAGTATCACAAGTCTTTCCATGAAAAATCAAGAAAAATAGTGATATGTAATTTATCTGAACATTTACTTTAACCTCCGTCAAGCAGCAAAACAGGATACTTAACAAATCTCTATTGGGCTGGGTTTTCAGATGCAGCTGGTGAATTACAATGACATACTAGAAGATCAACTGGAGATGAAGTCATGCAGGCAAGCAGATCTCCTTGTAATGGGGAAAATTGTAGGCAGTCAGAAATGCTAAGTTCTTTACTTCTTCTTATAAAATAACCTTTAGTGTTATGGCCCTTTCATTACATTTGCTTTCCTCCTCTTTTTACTGTTATTATTGCATTTACATGAAGTTACCTACTAGGTCATACCTCAGATTAACCTGCTTCAAGTAAAATGTTCAGATTTCTTACTCATTGTTTTTCCCTGCAGGATGTTTCTTCTTGTGGGTGCTCCAAAGGCCAACACTACTCAACCTGGGATTGTAGAAGGAGGCCAGGTGCTCAAGTGTAACTGGAATACCAATCAAAACTGTCAGCCAATCATATTTGATGCTAGAGGTACTCTTTAATCTTTTAAGATATGTTTTTATCCATTGAGATCTGACTAAATTGCAAAGACGAAAGCGATGTACCACTCGTAAAATATTTGGTGCTGATGAGAAACACTTTAAACAAAATTCCTTGTTATGGCTATTTTAAGGCATTGGCATCAAATAATGGCACCTTTGCTGGCTAAAGCCTTTTACGGTATGAGTCACTTTGAAACTGAAGAATCTTGTGGCATATTTTGTTTCAAAAGCCCACAGTGGTTAGATTTTTGTGATAGGCAGCCAAGTGGATGTGGACTGAATCTGAATCTGTTGGGTGGTATCTAGACCAGGCCTGACCATTTTTGCATTCCTCTGATCTAGGGTGTTTTCTGGCAGTCGTTAAAGAATCCTGTAATCCCAGGAGATAGAAATTACTCTTAGAAGAAATAAAAGGAATTTGTGTTATGCAAAGGAACAAGTTTGGGCCTGTGATGAAAAATTACACTGTATATAAGCCAAGTTAAAAGAGATCTCCAAACCCAACTACTTATTATAACTCATATGAACTGATGTTGCCTGTCTGCTTGGGCTGAAGTTACTGACAATAAATATATAACGTGTGTAAGCCATGTTCACTAATTGTGCATTGAATATTTAAAGACATGTATAAGATGTTTGCATTCCTTTTGTCTGTATGGGAAATACCAGCATAACCCAGTGCATTGAATTGCCACAATCTTATTTATGATCGAATGTCCTTTGGTTTGCATTAGTTTTCATGTAGTTTACGAACATTAAATATGGACTTTCAGAATAAGAAGATAATAAACAGAAAACAGACATGATAAAATAATTATGTTTACAATGTCCAAGAGAAAGAGGAAAGGGATTTAGCCTAATTTAGAAACCAAGAATACTTGTACGAAGTGTTACCCCTGAACGTTCAAACCCTACAGTTGGAAGGACCAGTTAGATCACCATGCCCAACACTGCTCAGGGAAGCAATCAGAGAGAAAGTATCCTTAAAAGAGGGCCACGTAGCTTTTTTTCTGGATGCAGCCAGTTTAAGGTGATGATCCTCTGAATGATTGGTTCTGCTTTTCTTACTGTTAGCAAGATTCTTCTATCAGTCCTTCAGAATCTGACTTCTTGAAATTGTTCCACAGGACATATACTGCATAATGAAATCGCCAAATACTCTTAATCCTTCCTCCCTACTTTATGTTAGGCAGTTTTCAGAGTCCCTCACCACTTAGGAATGGATATGAATAAGAAAAAGACTCATATGGGGTTCAAGAAAAGGTACACGGATGTTTCTGCTCTCTTAAGCCAGACTCCCCCACCCCACCCCTACAAATAAAGATCTGTTTTTACTTGTTTTTGTTCAAAGGATTGCTCTGTTTTGGATACAGTGTTTTCCAAGCCTTCCAACCAAAATATTTGCAACTGGAAAGGGAAGAATTCCTCACCCCTAGATACTGAGTCAGAGAGATTAATGTTTTTAATGCTCAGATCCTTCATAAGTAGAAAAGGGGTGGGTGGGAATGTACTTTTCCTCCATTTCTAGTGCTGATGTTGCTTGTTTGAAAATGAACAGTGCAAATTTGGAGCAAAATGACCTGCTGCAAATGGTTACCAACCAATAGCATCTTTGGATCATAATCTACAAAAAGGTGGGTGTGACATCACAATCAAAGCCTTGTCTTTTTTTGCATGTGTAGCAACACTACCATACCCTCTCTGTTGCAGATTTTGGCACACACACACACACACACACACACACACATGCCTGGGAGACCCATGTTATAAAGATATATAATATTGCATTGCATTCCTGGTTGGAAAGGAACATAGGTATAACATGATTATGGAATGCTGCAGAAATTAGATTTTAGAAAGCAAATGATTAGAATCCTTATGGTGTTAAAATAGTTTTTCTCTGTTTATTGGCTGTGTTAAGCCAGTTGTGATTTGATTATAATCTATTCTGTTTGGTGTGATGCTACGCACAGTATATTTATTTATCAAATTCATATAACCCACCATCTCAGAAGCACAATTCTGAGCAGCATACAATAAAACTGGTTTCAATGGGCTAATATAGCTCAGGATTTAGGAGGCACAACTTAACTTTGAGAGCATACTATAGTTCACACTAGGTCAGAACAAAAACTCACTTTGCTTAGCATTCATTTAAAAATAAATAAATACATGAACTAACAAAATTATGACTGCCCCTGTGTATAGAATAAAGTTCTCTTCCTACATGAAACAGAACAATTCTAGGTAGCCTGCAGCCTTGAGGTCTTTGGTTCTGTAGCTCTTTTCTGCATTCTTACATTCAGCCCATCCTCATGCTGTCTTCTACCTTTTCCAAATCTGTATCTGTCCACATATATTGGAATTGACTATTTGGAAGGCACCTGGTTGGATAAGGTTGCTTTATTTCAGGGTCAGGAAACAGTTGAGGGGCCATGTGCCTCAATTCAACTTTTGGGTGAAGCAGTGATAATACTAGAAGAATAGTGATACTGTTTTTTGGCTTTTGGGGTAGGTTAAAAATTCTTGGAGGTAAGCTGCTCCTATTTCCATATAAATCCTCCTAAATTCGGCATCATGATTGAATTTCCCCGGTGCAGTTTTGGACCTGGAAGGGACATTTCAAAGATAGAAATAACAGCTACCTAATTCCAAGAAATTACTTTATCCCATTTCCATTGTTGTTGGCCATCCCAACAAAAAATCAGGATGCTGAAAGTTGATCATTTTGCCACTGAATTTCAGTATCATAATCTTGGATGCTGGGTAACCATAAATGGAGTTTTGGAAGGTACTTGTGGCCTGCAGGACAACCCTCTCCTAATGTTTATCCTATGTGGTATTATTCTGTCGAATACAATTTCTGTCGATGCCTGCAATGATGGACTCGTTTGTGCTGCTGAAGCCCAACTGTTGCAGCTTGTTTTAAGACAGCATGTGGAATGGCCTTTACAGATCATGTGGGGATGATTAGTAGGATTTTTTTTATGAGGACAGCCCTTTGTTTTATTTCATTTTGCTTTAAGCTGTTGTGATGTGATACCGTTGTTGGCTGAATTTCCTATGGCTTGCTTAGCTAATATGTCTAATCTGAGGATTTAGGCTATTTTTAAACAGGCTTGCTGGTTAGAGCACAGTTGTATGTTGCAGTTGTACTGTTGTTCTCATATACAGGCCCCTTGATATCTTTTAAATAAGAATAGTATGCTGTTAAAAGGAATAAAATCTCTCCTTATTGTAATATCCTTCCCTTAGGTTTTTGGATTGTCCATCTTCTACTTCACGTCTATAAGACTAATGCTGGGTTTTTGGTTGAAGCAGTTCTTGCCAGCCTCCTCCCACACTCTGGAGAATATGCATTTATTTTTGAACCCAGGCTCTCGTCACATCTCATGACATAGAAACAGGTCCAGCAGGCCTTTCATCTAGTCTCAACTTATGGAGTTGTCAGACAGTGAGTAATATCCTGACTAGTCAAGATGTAGCTTGTTTTATAGGAGAATGGGAAGAAATTGGTTAGGACTAGGAGTGATATGATAGCAGAGTTCCAATATCCCAGGGGCTGCCACAAAGAAGAGGGAGTCAAACTATTCTCCAAAGCACATGAGGGTAGGACAAGAAACATTGGGTGGAAACTAATCAAAGAAAGAACCAATTTAGAACTAAGGAGAAATTTCCTGACAGTTAAAACAATTAATCTGTGGAACAACTTGCCTCCAGAACTTGTGGATGTTCCAACACTGGAGGTTTTAAAGAAGATGTTGGATAACCATTTGTCTGAAAGGAATAAGGTTTCTTTTTTTGCTTAACCCAAATAATAAATTACTATGAACATAAAGGACAAATTTTCGACTGAAACATTTATTAGGAAAACAATGACTATGGAAATGCTACAAATATTCTAAATCAGGGATATTTATTTATTCGACTTTTTAAAAAAATGAAGAAGATTTACTTTAATTTTCTTTTTCCTGGCTCTGGGAATATGTCTGACGATGTGGTGACATCACTGAGTCAATGCCAACAGCATTTGGATCATCCAGGTTAGGGGAAGGTAGATGTTAATGGGTAAAATAGATACTTCACCTCGAAAAAGTTTAAAGTACTACTAGCCACATTTTTGGTAAAAGTGGCAAAACAAAAATACTTCCAAAAATAACCATCTGGTTCCCAAAATATGGTAATGACACCAGTGGTAGGATTCACATTTTTTTACTACCA